TCAATAGTATGAAGTATCACTTGGTGATACAATTGGTGTTGGTACACCGAAATCTATTCATGAATTACTTAAAGAATTAAAAACAAGTGGTATTCCATCAAATAAATTAGCTATTCATTGTCATGATACATATGGACAAGCTATTGCTAATATTGCACAAGCATTAGAAATGGGTATACGTTGTGTTGATGCAAGTGTTGCTGGTCTTGGTGGATGTCCATATGCTAAAGGTGCAACAGGAAATGTAGCAACTGAAGATGTTCTTTATTTATTACATGGACTTGGTTATGAAACAGGTGTTGATCTTAATCGATTGATTGATGCTGGACAATTTATTACAGAAGCATTAAAACGAGAGAATGCATCAAAAACTGGACGAGCACTTTTATGTAAAAGACAAAATGAAAACAAAACAACTGTAAAGAACAATAAAACCTAACAATTATTAACATTGTCCAACGGTTTTTGTTCTATATCCTATTATATATACTTTATGTGAATGTATTTATTTTTCATTAATTAAAAATAAAAAAACATCAGTTTAGTAAACTACTATCATTAAAAACATTTATTAGTTCTAATATATTATTGTATAGTAAGAAAAAATATTGTCAATGGATATTTTTATGTCATAGGAGAATATATTTTATATTTTATTTTTCGTACCATCGTTTTTCAATATTCACAATTCTTTCATGTATAAAACCAAATTTCGTTCATCTTCGGAAAGGAAATAGTAGAGAAGATAACAAAAAAACGATTTGATATCTCGAGAGATTTTTAGATCGATGGATGTAGAAACAAAATGATAGGCTATAAAATACTTAAGGTATGTTTTTTGGAAAAAAGTTTTAATGAATGACTTTTATAGTTCCTATTATCTCAGTACAAGTGATACAAAACATTTTTCAGGTATGATTTTGATGTTAAGTAGTTATATTGATTTCATTTTGTCTGTTATTTTTATAATCACAAATGATTTATCAAATTTCATTTTTTCGAACAGCAAAAGATCAAGAAAAAAAAAAACATTTCATCTAAAGGTATTACTTTAACGCATTGTAAAGAAAGAATTTAATTGAGTTTTGAAAATTTTTTTAACTTTAATTAATTTCTAGAAAACTAATTTAGTAATTAACATTGCCTTAACTATTGAAATTTTCATATTTGAAGAATGATTATTCATCTTATAATTTAAAGTGAGTTATGTCGAACATATTCGTTGATACTCTTGCATAGGCAAGTGTTCTGTTTCTTTATTATTATTGTGTTGTTGTTGTTGTTGTTGTTTTGTTAAAGTGTGCGCACATGTAGTTTTTTTTCTCTTTTTCTTACATAAGAGTGGCTTGCTATTGGACAAGGTAGGGGTGAAATATTTTAGTTTTACTGTTGAAAGGAGAACTCGAATATTTTTGTATTTTTCTTTCTTGTTATTAGAATCTACCTGTGGTTTTCTTTTTTCTTGTTCTTATTCTCTTCCTTGTAAATAGACAAATTTTCTAATTAATTCTCCATATCATTTTTTTTTGTGTAATTCTTAGATTTTAGACATTATAAAAAAAATAAAACACAAAATCAATGGATTCTTCATCACATACACAAATAGTTCTATCAAAAATAAATGAATTTCATAGATTAACAATGAGTGATTCAGATATTAAGATTAAAAATGCAATTCTAGAAATTCTTCATTTATGGCCTGAAGTACTTGCTGCTATTGATCAAGCTACTGATGATGAATTATTTACTTTAAATATTAGTCGAGCTGTTTTAACTCAAGTATTTACAATTGTTTTATCGAAAGATTTTTTTAATAAAGATTATTTATTAGTACGTGAAATATTCTTTACTTGTTTTAATATACTTATTAATCATACATATATATTTACAATTACAAATTCAACATCTCAAACAACATTTATTGATTCTAATATACGTTTATTAATGAAAATATTAACAAGTATAACATCATTAGTCAAATTTCAATATGATGATTTTTCTAAAATTAATGATCAACAATTATTTATTGCTATGCGTAAACATATTGATCAAGATTCTAAACATGATAATTTAACTGATGGAATTATATCATTAATATGGAATTTAACTGATAGAACAATATTAGTACCATTATTTTTAAATACTGGTTATGCAAATAGTGTTATTGAATGGATAAAAAATCGTGAAATTAAATTTCGTGATGATAAATTAAATGCACCTATACATATTTTACATAATTTATCACGACATGATGATGGTATTAAAGAATTAAATATTTATAATGCACTTCAAATTATTAATAATATTAATATTGAACCAAATAAATATGATGATTCTGATGATATGACAATACATATAGCTATGATTCGTGCACTACTTACTGATATAAATCAAATTAAAATTGATTCAACATCATATTCAAATCAAATTCTTAATATGATTATACAATTATGTATAGATGCTGCTAAAAATGAACGATATCGTTATAATGGTTCTCATATATCTGAACCATTAACAGTACTTGTTAAATTATTTTATAATGATGAAATATTACATAATACTTTTTGTAATAATGAAACAAAATCATCATCATCATCATCAAATATTCAATCATTATTAGAACTTTTAGTATCATTACTTATTAAATTTTATCCAAAGATAAATTTTGATAATGACATATTAGAAAACTATACATGTGTTGTTATACTAAATCTATTTTGGCTTATTTCAAATCATGAACAATATCGTCAGATTATTCGAAATTTTGAACAATTGATGAGTATTATAAAAAGTGTTCTAAATGATGAAGAAATTTTTATAGATACATTTATGCCACGAACAATGAAAAGTATAAAACAATCAGCAAATGATATTCTAAAAAATCTTAATAGCTAAAATTTCATAAAAACAGAAATATATGCATAAATATAAATATTTATTGTAAATCAAGTACTGTTCAGTAATAATTAACAGAATAATCATAATCTCTTAAATATTATTGTTTTCATTAATTTATTTTGAAGTAAACGCATAGAAAGATTTTGTTAATCATAAAAAAACAATATCAATACTTTTTCAATGTATTATCAGACAAAAAAATCGACTTCTAATTTTTTGTTTTTATTGTGTTTATGTGATTAACTCATATTACATTTCTTGCTAATATGTTATCATAAATATTGTGACGAAATATCATAAGAATATGATTAAAGGTCTTTGTTCTACAGTAAATTTTCTTTTGTTTCTTGTATTCGATCGTATACCTTTCAATCAAGTTGTCGAAGAATTGCTACTACAAATCGCACAACAGAGATCCAATACAATGTTCCCTGCCTCATAGAATACATTTTCAATCTTCATTCTTATCGTCATTTCCTACGATGCCAATTCCAGCTATCGAACCAGTTCATGAAATTGTTGTTTTGAAATACATTTTAACAATCCATGGATTTTTTATGATCATCATGTAAGTATTTTACATACTTTCATATCTAGGCTTTCGCAAATAGTTTTTGTCTTTCAAGCTGCCTTCTATGATAAACAATTGGAGAAAATCACTATTGATCAAATAGGAAAGAGTTTCATTTTTGAAGTATGTTTGTATACACGTTTGCTGTCTGTACGTTTTAATAAAAGAAAAAGCTTGTGTTTTACAATAAGAACATATTATTAAAAACCAATGAGCTCGTCTTATAAACCTCAATCATGTATATGGTTATCCCATTCAACTTTTCTCTCGAATTATAGTACATTCATTATTAATCACATATTAAAGGCGCAACTTCAATTCACTTTCGTAAAATGAAGGAATTCGTATTTCAAGGTTTAGGTTTTGTCCCTTAAATTGACGAGCTCTCTGAATGTCTTGAACAAGTACGGTTAGTTGATCAACTTGTCTCTTCGTTATTTCTCACTTATAAAGTTTTTGACAAAAATAAACTTTAATATGAACCAAATCATAATTATGAATAAAGCACATTGTACGAAGATCCATAATCCCATGAAAATATACTAAATTTCAAAAACTAATTTTTATACGTAACATTATCCATCCATCGTTAACAGTGAGTTAAGTAAATAAACAGGCAAAGAATCAATTGTACTGATATGGATTTTTTTCTAGTTTACTTAGATTGTATATTAATCAAGAAAATATTGCACTTCTATCAGTTTGAAGTCATAATTTCCAGAGTAATAAATATGGTCATGGATAAAGTGACTGTAGAAAGGCACCGTCAGTGACGATCATTCATTTATTAACTAAGAATAAAAATTAGGTTCTTTTATTTACAATCAAGCATTTTATTAAACAAAGAGATTGTTCGTATGCTACTACTTAAACAAATTTAAAATAGAGAACTTGGATTTTTTCTTTTTCTGATTGTGAGAAGCTGCAGTGATCACTGAACTATTCGAAGTTGTAGTTGTAACTGATGAAGCTGTTGATTGCGATGGTTTCACAACAAATGTTTGCCAGTAAGAATCTTCGAATGCAGCTTTGTCGAGCCAAACTGTCATTGTATCATCTTTCACATGGAACAAAAAATTAGTTTCTTGTCGTAGGTCATATTCCCATTTTTTTCTGTTATAATTACCAAAATGACCACGACGACTTATTGAAATATCGAAAGATAGACTGCGAAGATGTATGAAATACATTTTCAATAATCGAACACTATGTAAACTTGATGTATTGATTTTTAGATGTTCCAGATAAGGAAAGCACTTGACAATGATAATAATATCTTCTTCATTGAATGCATGTTCAGAAAGAGACATATCAAGATCTTTTACACGATTACTTTTTCCCATGAAAGCATCTATATTAGTGAGAAGTACATCGAAGCTTATATAAAGTAAACTCATATTTGTGAGACATGTGAGCAGCTCATCTAATGCGTCGTTGATTTTGTGTGAGCGTATGATAGCAAGTTGCGTAATTTGGAAGCAATTTACATGCATTTTCATCCATTTGAATACCGAACTATCCATATTATCCACTATAAGGCACCTTACATTGTTAAAGTAGTAAGAACATGATACAATACTATTTATGTCACCAACTCTCAAACTTATGTTTTCATTAATTATCATAAGTTCGTTATTACTAGTACGATTGGGTGCTATCCAACATTGAACAACGGGCCAATCAAATTCATATCGAGCATTGTGCTTCATTTTGTCTATGCCGAAACCATTGAAATCTGAATGTTCATGTTTGGTTATTAATATATTGAAGTTCTTTTTCGCTAACCAATATGAATTTTGAAACGCAGCAAGTACATTTTGAAGTTCATCTTCTTCTACACGAAATGTAGTCGTTCGAAGAGTAAAATGAGTTAGTAATGGTAAGGATGTTTCCAATAACGTTTGCCATGCGTTTGCATCAAGAATTTCACTATATGCTTTAATTTCAAGACGTTTTAGAACAGGCATGCAATTAAAATGTTTTCTTAACATATCCATCGTTATTGGACTGTTTTGTTCGAAATATAAGACTAGTGTACGTAATGTAGACATTGGTATACTATTCTTTTCTATGTCATCATAATAAGGGTAAATATTATTAATTAAGTCTACATCGAGATATTTAAGACGAGGAGCACACTTGTAAATATATTGTAGATCGTCAAATCGAAAATGTAAGCCAGAAATAGTCAAATGTTCAATATTTGAGGAGATCGTCGCCACATCACTCCAGTTCATAAAATGCATTTTGCTCATAAAAGAAAATCGTTTAAGAGATTTTAATCGAAAAAGATCAACAATAACATTTCCCAATAACGATCTGTCATCTGTCTTCATTGCTTTGATTGATAAAGTGGTAATAGTTGTTTGTGATAATGAATAAAGAGCTCTTTCAACCATTTTCCAATCGATATCTTCATGATTAAAATGAAAATAAAGTGTTCGAAGTTGTTTAAATAATCCAAACGATGGAAAAAAAGAAAGAAAAGCATAAACTTGGCCAGGTGTATCTTGTTCGGATATGGCTAGTTCTTCTATTTTGTCAATATAAGCTGGTAAAAGGCCCATGCAAACACGAAAATCATCTTTTTTACATTGAATAAAATCAAAACGAAGTCGTTGACATTGAGTAATGAGAGCATCAAAATGTTGATTAAGTTGAAAGCTAAAAGCTCTTAGTAGATCCACTCCATTAATGTATTTCTCAATAATATCGATCAATAGTTCGTTTGGAAGTGATTCAAGTTTAGAGAGTGACATATTCGTATTGAATTATTTTTCTCTTGCAACAAAAGAAAAAATTATCTGAAAAAAAACAATTTTTATAGGAATGTCGAATTTAAGTGACTGTTTGTTGTGTTCTGTTGTCTCTCAGAAAAAAATTATTTCATTCGACCTGTCAATAGCAAATGCGTTTCACACTATTGACATCTATAAAAAATTAATCGGACAATAAAGAAATCAATAAGAATTCCAATGCATCCTAATTTACCATAAGATGAGAAATAACTTAACACTAATGTCGTTTGAGGAAAGTGCTTTTTTTTGTTTAGATACTCTTCACTATGAAGGTTGTTTCCTTGGTAACGAAATGGACTAAAGCAGTAAATAATACAGATAAAATATCGAAAACAGTACTACTGAAAAGTAGTTTGCGCCGAACAGATATCTGGAAAATTTGCCTCAACTTAGAGATAGTATATTCAAATTAGAATAAAATTCTGCATTCTTCGATATATTATTATCCCAAAAATGGCTGACGCACCAACATAGTACAAGATATAGCCGTGGCTTCCCCAATTTCTCCTAGTCTCCTATTTTTATTAGAGTAAGACTATTTAAATTAACATATATATATATTCAGAAGCAATGTGCGCGGTTAACATAGAAAAATTAATCCTTAGTATTATCATTTTTTTAACTGTTACTTTGATAATTATACTTCTTCTCGTACATATTTGACGTATTTATTAGGTTGGACTCTTTTCTTCGATAATCGATGATGTCTAAATTTTCTCTTGAATCAGTACCAATAGCATAACTGTAAATCGTCTCTCATCGCTATAAAACTGATTAAATCATACTAAACTACTTTGATCCAAAGAATAGACGTTCGATTAGCGTACATTTAATGGGTCATGGGGGTGTAGATATGGTTGTACGACAAGAGAAGATCTACGCTCCGTCATACATAGATCATTTTTTATTATCTGTAAGATGTCTGGAGAGTGCTTTTGACAATAAATAATGATTTATGAATACAATGAATAACGAAAAACAATTTTCAGATGTGTCGAAATGTGTGCATTACCAAGTATAAAATGACTTTTGGTACACTGTAAATGATGTTCTTTTTTTATTTAGATTAATAACAATGACAACGCCATCATTATGAGAAACTAATTCGAATACGACGATAAACGACTTTCTATACAAAACATTGCTATAATGATAATTCTCGTAGTCGATTTGCTAGGAAACTCGACAAAATATTTCTGTCGTGATTTTCGGGAGAGAAAGTCTGGGTGTGGGATGTGGGTGAACATTTTCTCCAATGGCTCCTGCACACCCACACTCACACCCTCGAAACTTGAGGAAAACCCCAGGTGTGAAAAAATACAAAATAAACTGAAGCAAAATAATCAGGACTCAATTTCTTTGATCTTAGAACTTGCTCCATTGGAATATCTCTCATAAAAAAATCTTTTATTCCTTTATTGATCTTTATTTTGTAAAGATAAATGATTGGCTTATCTTTTCTTCGTTATTATAAAGGAGAGTAAAGATAAAATGCCACTCATAGTAATGATGCGTCGCTATTGGAGTCAAAAACTAGCTGAGTATTGTTATTAGTGTCAAAAGAATACCTGCATGTTGTTATTAGGGTCACTTTTTGTTTTATCAATGCTGGACGTCTTCTCTTCGAGTTTTGTATCGCATTAAATAAAAATTTGTTTCTCATGAAACTTTTCATTTAGATAGAGTTCGACACGCTCTACAAAAATACCAACGAGACCTTTGCTTGTTTTCCGGACCAAAAGCGTAAAAATTTTTTTTTCAAAAAGTACCTTTCGCTTGAATTTTGTCAGAGTGTTGTTATTAGGGATATTTACTCCATTTGACACCGAAAACGATCTTTTTTTGTAGTGCTCTCTGTAAGGAGTCGTTTTCCACTGGCCGTAGTCAACCATTCACGCTCCGAAACGGCTAGTTTCAGTGGGACAGAGAGCTATACAACTCAACGAACCGTAAGTAAAAATTATTTGATTTTTTTTGATTTTATATTATTTTACGTTACTTTTCTTTTCTTTTATTGTGTTTTATTTTAATTTAATTTAACTTTATTTTAATTTTATTGTATTTTATTTTCTTTTACCTTTATTTTAAATATATTATTCAACAATTGAATATGGCAATAAGTCAAAATCAACGCGATTTAAGCTGTTGATTCTCAGTTAATTGTACAAGAGAAGGGAAGTAAGGGAAGAGGGATGATAAGGAGGGAGTTCAAACAATATCTAATGTTCAGATAAAAGCTCAACAAGATTCTATCGGATCCTGAATATCTGGAGTTTTTCCACTATCGGGTTCGACATCCAACTACTTCCTGTCGGCAATTATCGGATTGTTCAGAGGATCCGACAGGATTCGACTCTCAGATTCTTCGTGTTGGAGAAGTAATTGTTGTAAGTATAACAAAAATATGTTGCAGCCAGTAACAGATATATAATAACTATGTTTCTTTTTGAGTTCTATAGTATAGTATGTAAAAATATTTTGAATTTATTTCTTGGTTCAAGATTTTATATAGGTGTTGTTAGTGAGCAGTGCCTCTGCTAATAAAAGCAACAAAGAAACGTCTGATGATTCCTCTAACAATATACCATATTAAAATTATTCACTATTTTTAATGCGATACTATGAAACGAGACAAACGAAAACGCATTCCCTTGTCTATTCATTCTTCTTTATGATTTCATTAAAAATCAAAATTTTCACGTGTTTTTAAATTTGTTACTATAGATAAAGTATGCTTCGCCGTTATCATTGTTGTTTATCATTTTGTAGTGAAAATGAAGACAGACTAAAAAAGAGTTTGTTTTGTATTTTCATATAATTTTGAAATGATTCATAGAAGATCAATGAACGAATGTATTTGTGTATAAAATACAGTATAGTGGCATTTACTATTGGAAACATAACAAAATTAACATACAGAAAAACAATGTTCACTTTTTACGATCGTATTTTAATGCTCATTATTTCAAATATTTAGAATACATATTTTTATATTTGTGTTTCATAATTTACATTCTTATTAAGAAATAGATATTAAGCATTAATAGAGTGTGTAGTTAGAAGGCAATACTAATTTCATCACTATTGAATTTTTGTTTTTTCGTCCTCAATTTGAAATAAATGAATAAATATATTTTAGAATCACCGTGATGTGTTTCCTATCGATAATTGATTGGAGATAAATTGAAACATTGTATTGTTGGCAAGGGGGAAACAGCGGACTTTTGGACTTGAAGTTACTTTGAGCTACTTCATGTTACTTTCAGCTACTTCAAGTAGGTTACTTTGAAGTACTTTTCAACTTCAAATTTACTTCAAGTCACTTGAAGTTACTTTAAGCTACTTGTTTCTACTTTGGGCTACTTGGGTGGTACTTTGAGCTACTTCAAGTAGTCTACTTTGACATACTTTAGCGTACTTTTCTACTTCAAGTCCGCTGTTTCTCCCTTGATTGTTGGTCACTGTGTAATTTTGAACAATCGTAACCACCTCCAATCATGCTGAAATGAATATCAATCTGGGTATTTCATATGAGATGAATTTCATTCAACGAATATGATCTTCTTTTGCTTTTTTACTATTATACCTCGTCCATTCTCCCTGTGAACTGTTTTATGGTTGTTATGTATAGTCCTTCTCAATAGGGTGTATATTTGAAAAAAATGAAAAAAAACGAAAAAAATAAAAGAGGCAAAGCAAACAGAAACCAAGCAAAACGTGTTGCCATACTGCAAAACTAAAGAAAGAAATCATTCGACACAAACAAGCAAACAGTGCAGATCACAAGGAACTCAAAATCAACAGCACAGTATTAGTCAAATTGTTGAAGACGGTGGTGAGTGAACTATTAAGAATATTTGAAAAGTAATAGAAGCAAGTTTGAATGTTGTATACTAAGTGCCAAGACGCTGTGAGTATTGTCAATGATTGATACAGATATGACATTGGCAACCATGATCGACTTTACTTAAGTCGATAGATTCATCAATGTTTGTCAGTTATCGATAGCGTTCATCCATTATTTTCCAGCTTTTTCATATTTGCTTGATCGTTTCATTCGCCGCAATTCTATGATGTTGTCTATATGTAGCAGGACATTTCTGCCTCTTGCTTTTCTCCTACTCCATTGATAAATTTCAGGTTCTAACGAGATAAGTAACCAAAAGCAGTAAAAAAAGAAGTGCCAAAACAATAAGAACACATATAAAAAGAACATATACATAACAGCAAAAGTTGTGTGTAGATACGAGTAACAGTTGAAAACCTTCCGATCGGAAACCAATCTACACATATGAAGGCCAGAACCTATCAGTTAGAAAACGATACGTGACGATAAAAAAAACAAACCTTCCGGCCACATCATAGTTCATAACCGCAACAGCACAAAGCTTCACTTTCCTTGCTGCTGTGGCGAATTTCGAGGAAGGGTGTGGATCTGGGTCTCGGTGTGGGTGTTCTCATTACTTTCCACCCACACCAACACGCATATCCACACCCATACTCCAAGATCCACACCCTAGTGACTTCAAACCACATGGTAATGCACCAGTCTGTTGACAAACGAGCTTCGTCCCGAACAGTTATGGGCGAGACGGAGACTGAAAAGCTTTGAGTCGTGCGGTCATGTTTCGCAGTTAGCGTGCAACATCGTGATTCTTCTCCCAATTTCTCAGGAAAGTCATTGAAATCTCAGGTCACAGAGCAATCCATAGAAATCACCCCAAAGACCTTCGGGAAACAAAACAGTCTGTCAGGATGCTAGATGAAACCTTCAAGAGGCATGCAACTCACCAAGAGCCTAAGCGAAACGTTTTTTCTCTCACAAACACGACTGATAATAACAGTACAGGAGCCGCGATCGCCCAGCCCTTCAGCAGTATGTCAGCGAAAAGTTTCAAGCGATATAGAATATTATGAGAACGACAGCAATTTGTGTGAACTTAAATAGGAATCTGTAGGAC